TGGCCCCCCTCCCTCCGCCCAATAAGGACATAAACTTCAACCCCTTCGTCCAGCCAGTCCCTGCAGGGCGCAGATGGGTTCCTCCCTCCTTTTTCACCCCCTTCCTCTAAGCTCTTACTTTGCTCTCCGAGCCTTTCCCACCCTCCTCTTTTTCCTCCTTTCCTTCTCTCTATCTCCCTTCACCTGCCGCGGTCCCTTTCCTCCTCTCCCTCTTCTCTTGCCCCTATCTCTTCCAGTCCTCCTTAACTCGAGCTCCGCCCCCGACCCTCATCCAGCCTTCTGCCACTGCTCCGCCCCGCCCCCTGCACTCCACCGCCCTGCCCGCCCATTGGCTTGAACTCCCGTCCATCCCAAGTGGGTCCCGCCTTGCGTTCGTTGGGGAGGGGGCGGAGCCGAGGAGCCTAGGGGCCGGCCCGAAACCGGGAGGGGAGGGGGGGGCAGTGTCCGCAGCTGCCCGGGAACCGAGCACCCCCCTCAGGGGCTCCCTCTTCTCCAGGAGGGGCTTCTGTTAGGTCAGCACCTCGGGAGGGAAGAGTATGAGAAGTTAAGGATAGGCTGGGTGGGGAATTGGGGACTTAGGGTCTTCACGGAGGGGGGTCCTGTGAGGGGCTATAATCAGGTCAGGGCCCCATGGGGGAGGGGGAGCCACTTGGCCTTCAGCTCCGGCCCCTACGCCCCATCTCACCCCGTCAGAAGGAGCGGGGGAGTTGAGGCTGCGGGCACCCTGCGTCCCTCCCCACGCGTGATGGCGCCCCTCAGAGAGGGAACGGCGCCCCGGGCAAGCAGCCTCTGCGCTCCAGCCGATGCCCGCTGCGGCCTTGGCATTGTAAGAGGGGAGGGGCCTGGTCTGCGAAGGGGGAGGGGGAGGCGCGCTCACGCTCCTGCTCCCCGCCTCCATCCCGCCCGATTCCTAAGTGGAGAAACTGAGTCTCCACGAGGGAGGGACGTCTTGACGTGGATTCGCTCGGAGACCCAGGTGGCGAGGGTCCCTGGGTGTTTTAGGATGTGTGTATATGTGGGTTTGGGGGGAACTGGGATACGTACCTCAGTGACCCCCAACTGAGAGGTAGTCTGTGATAGTCGCTTTTAACTGGGCCTGCAGCGCTACGTACCCCAAAGGGCCCCTCCCATTAGTGTCAAACGGAATCAAATCCGGCTACCTCGGGCCAGGTTCGCCTCCCCTGCTGCCCGCCAGGCCGAACCGGGTCGGACTCGCTTTCCTCTCCCCACCCCCCTCCGCAGGGGGCCTCCCTCCCTTTCCAGCAGGTGGCTCCGCGGGACACCAGCTCAACCTGTTGGACCACAATGGGCGGCGCCAGGGGGGCCCTGGCCCTCACCCGGGCTGACCCGGGATCCCCGTGCAGGGGGTGGGGCGGAGTCCGAGTTCCTCCCTCCCCCTTTCTCCCTCTCTCCCGGGCCGTGACTCAGCCTCGGGGCCGCTGCCCTGCGCCCCAGCCAGGGGCGGAAAGTGTGAGGCGCCCCGGAGGGCCCAGGCCAAACCAAACAGCCCCCCACCCCAGACATTATCTCACTGGAGAATTAGGGGGGCTATAGGAAGGAGGACGTAGCAGCAGGCATGGAGTGCTGCGGCTCGAGTAATCCGTTCCGGGTTTTCCTGTAGTCCCTGTCCCCCTTGGGTCTCCAGACTGGTCAATGCTCCGGGTTTTCTTCGCAGCCCTGCCGGACAGTCCGGAGGGCCCGAAGCGGGTGGGGTCCAGATCGGGTTTTTTCCCTTCCGTCTCCAGCGTTGGGGTCGCGCTGGCCTGGGGAAGGGCAGTGCCAGGGGCACGGCGGCAGTGCCAGATGCACAAGTGAAATGGAGACGGGGCTGCTTCGGGGAGGAGGGGGCATGGTCGAGGAAAGTGGGGGTGGGAGGAGCGGGAAAGTGGCCCAGGGAGGGCAGAGCTAGGTCCTCCAGAAGCAATAGAAGGGCGGAAGACCTGGCATCGACCCTTGGGTACAGAGACGCGAACGGCGTTCAGTGCTTCGAGCTCGCCTCGCCCCCTCCCCATCATTTCTGGGGGCCGCGTTCGGAGTCTAGCTGGGCACAACTCGGATCTTTTTGCTGCTGTATTGCCACTCTCCACTTAAGTCCCAATACTGGAACCCACTGTTAGTTTCTCAGTGACTTCCCCCTCCCATGCTTCTCTTTTTCCTCTGTACAGACAGCTCCCCTCGCTCATAAGTTGGAGGGGGGAACCCCAACTTGAAATTCCCGCCTACCCCCCAACTCCGGGCCCTTACCGCGCCAAACCACTGAGAGCAGCGGCCGAGAAACGCTGACTGGGAGCCTTGACCCCTCCCACGAAACCCCGGCCGGGCTCCAGGGGCATCTGCCGCCGCCCCCGCCCTGACAGTAGGCCCAGGCTGGAACTGGGAGCTGGAGGGCAAGTGCGGGGCCTGCAGGAACTTCCTGGGGATAGAGAGTGTTCGAGATCCGCAAGTTCAGACTTAAATCGGACCAGCTAGACGTTAGAATTTGGGGAAAATAGCAGGAGGTGGGCAAATACCCGGAGAGTGAGGTGTTTGCCCTAAGAGAGGGATGAAAGCCCAGGCTGGGAGGATTGTATACCTGGGGCTGGGGACAGCGACTCGGAGTGGCGGCCAGGTGCCGGGACTGCCTGGGCCACGTGCGCCGAAGGGTAGCTGCAGAGAAGTTAGATGCTTGCAGAGCCTTGGGGAGAGAGGGCTTCTGGCGGCAGGAGAGGCGAGGCTCTGCCTGGGTGGGGTCCTGCGTGAGTGGGTCTGGGGGCCTGCTCAGAGTGTGGAGGGCTGAGGTGAATGCTGGATGTCAGCCTGCGCCAGGCGCCCACCTCTTTCCAGCTACCTCCCCCCAACCCGGCTGCCTCCGCTTCCCTCGAAAAACCCGCCGCCCAGGAAACCGCTGGGGGCGCTCAGACCGCAGCCCCCCCGCCCGCCGCCCCCCAGGGGCCCCACCGCGACCGCCCAA